CGCTCATCTGATGCCGCCTCGTTCGTCGGTTGTCGCCATGGCAGCTATCTGCCCCTTGGGAGGCGCTTCGTCGGCCATATTCTTCGACGACGCCTGCAAGTTGTTCGACGATTTGCCCACAAGGTACAAATGAATTCCGTCGACGAGTTCTTTTTCCATAATTTCCTTTGTGACTCGGATGATTCTTCGTCAGACGATGAGGAGATGGTGGCTGCTGTGTTGGTCATCCATGACCACCTTAGTAGGCAGCGGCCATTGTTCCGGGGCTCGTTCCTGAGGCACACTCCGGCGCTGAAACGTAATCGAGAGAGCCGGCATTTTCTTCTTTGGACGGACTACTTTGAGACACCCAACCCGCTCTTCAAACATCACTAATTCTGGCGTCATTCCGTATGCCTAAGTATGTTTTCAACCGTATTTGGGAGGGGATGGTCGGATAGGATAAGTATATAGAGTGCAAGGAGGATGCCCTTGAAAAAATTGGCTTCTCCTCTTATCAGAAATGCAATGCAGCTATCCGAATGCTTGCATACGGAGTTCTCGGTAATCTCATTGATGAGTACGTCCATATGAGTGAGTCTACGTGCCTAGACTCCATGTACAAGTTCTCCAAGGCTGTGATTGCAGTGTTTGGCCCTGAGTAATTGAGAGAGCTAAATGTTGAAGACACAACCCGCTTGTTGGCGGTGAATGCTAGCAGGAGCTTCCCGGGGATGCTTGGTAGCATAGACTGTATGCACCGGGAGTGGAAGAATTGCCCTTCTGTTTGGCGGGGGTAGTATAGGGGGCATGTCAAAGCTTGCACCGTCATACTTGACATCGTGGCTTCACAAGATGTCTGGATTTGGCACTCTTTCTTCGGCATGGCCAGATCTCACAATAATATCAACGTGCTTCAACGCTCTCTGGTGTTTGCAAGGCTTGCCGAAGGAAACTACCCGCTGGTGAATGTTAACATCAACGGCCACAACTACAACAAAGGATACTACCTAGCTGACGGTATCTATCCTCAGTAGACTACTATTGTGAAGACAATCTCCAACCCTGTAGGAGAGAAGAGGAGAAGATTTGCACAAGAGCAAGAGAGTGCTAGGAAGGATGTGGAGCGTGCCTTTGGTGTTTTGCAATCTTGATGGGGCATCGTTCGGTGTCCCGCTAGAACTTAGAGCACCAAGAATTTGTGTGAGGTGATGACTACTTGTGTGATCATGAACAATATGATCGTAGAGGATGAGCACTTGGAACATATCTACGACCAAGGGTTTCAGTTTCAGGGTGACAATGTTGTGCCTGAGCATGGAGGAGCGGCAACGTTTACACAATTCAGCCAATTTCATCATCAAATGCGTGATTAGAAAACTCACATTCAGCTGCAAGATGATTTAGCGGAGCATATGTGGGCTCGCGCTGGCAACCAATAGATATATTTTTTTTAATATGTATTTGAGACAATTTAATTTTTATTTGGTTTGTAAGCTATGATATATTTATTTGGCTTGTGAACTATGCTATATTTGTTTGCTTGTGAAACTATGTAAAAAATTTGTATTTTGTTTGAATTATGTCTGAAAAAACATGGCAAGCCAGCCGCGAGGGTGGAAATGGGTCTGCCCGTTGGACGCACTACCGACCAAACGAAAAAGAGGGCGGCCCACGAGCGGGCGGCCGACCCGAACTGACAACAAGCGAACAAAGCACGCGTCCGTTTGGGTCAGCGCGTTGGTGTTGCTCTTAGATCGTCCGCCAAATACATCAAATTCGGCCTCTCAAACGCATGCGGACGTGTTCCGATGCGGACGTGGACAGTGACAGAGCATCACTCATTTGGCTGCTTCTACAGCCATGTCCCTCATATTCGAAACCTCAACTCCATGTAACTCATGCAATGCTACGTGCATAAACACGACGAATACACTTAATAGCAACAGACAAACTAAATTCATCCGATATCAAAGGATCATGTTCTTAGGTGGACAAAAGATCAAGGTTCATCATTAGATAGTGCAAATTCATACTAAAAATGATTACAAACATAGATAAAACGGAGAAGGGCAGAGGAAATCACAATTTCCTCGCTGGCCCCTTCCCGTTGCGGTCGTCGCTGCGCCTATGCCCCTCTGTGTAGGCATCGACGGCCGGAGGGGCATCATCGTTGGAGCTGCAGAGGCGTCATCATTGCCAAGGAGCGGAGTAGGACCGACACGAGGAGCACGTCCTTGGGATCAACCGCGTGCGGCTAGCACCACCCCCGCCACTGCCCTCTCCCTTGCCCACTGTCGCTCGCGGCGGGTTCCCATGCCTCAGATTCGGGCGTCCTCGTCCGTGCTGGCGCCGACATGGGCATGAGGAACCAGCAATGCTCGACTACCCCATCAGGAGCAGATTGAGCTTATTGTGGTGGGCGGCCTACATGGACGGGCGCGGAGCGGTTAGAGCTGCGCGACAAGCGGGAGGGTCCGACGTTTTCCCCGAAGAGGAAGGGATGATGCAGCAAAGTAGCGTAAGTATTTCCCTCAGTTTTTGAGAACTAAGGTATCAATCCAGTAGGAGGCTACGCGCGAGTCCCTCGTACTTGCACAAAACAA